GCGACCCCGGTGGTTTATTATAGTGGACGAGTCCATGGATCTGTGGATGGGATTACAACCACTGGTTACGGTCGGTGGTTCGTCCTACAATTAAAAAGAACTATCAACATTCCTGGTTACGGTCGGGTATGCATGAGTTGCGGCTCCGATGGTTTATTGTAGCGGACGAGTCCATGTTTCTTAGAATGGGATTATGATCTGAGTTCAACCACTGGTTACGGTCGGTGGTTTCGTCCTATAATGAAAAAAATCACCAATACTCCTGGTTACGGTCGGGTGTATATGGGTTGCGACCCCGGTGGTTTATTATAGTGGACGAGTCCATGGATCTGTGGATGGGATTACAACCACTGGTTACGGTCGGTGTTTCATCCTACAATTAAAAAGAACCATCAACATTCCTGGTTACGGTCGGGTATGCATGAGTTGCGGCTCCGATGGTTTATTATAGCGAACGAGTCCGTATTTCTTATAATGGGACTATGATCTGAGTTCAACCACTGGTTACGGTCGGTGGTTTCGTTCTACAATAAAAAGAATCATCAACATTCCTGGTTAAGGTCGGGTGTGCATGAGTTACGACCCCGGTGGTTTTACTAGTTTATATTCTATTTATTGTAAAGGACGAGTTCATACTTTTTGGATGGGATGACGATCCTCGTTTAATCACTGGTTACGGTCAGTGGTTTTGTCCTACAATAAAAGAACCATCAACACTTCTGGTTGCGGCTCCGGCGGTTATAACGGTATAGAATATTTAATTTTTTAGTGAAATTTTCGAACTATAATAATTTATATTATTTTTTATTTACTTCTCTTCATTCTTGTAAGCTAAGTATATACATAATCGTGTTAATACTATCCTTGAATATTACAATCAAACATAATACATATAGTTTGTAGTTTTAAGTTTACGTCAAAGAAACAGAGTAAATTTGAAAGCTGAGAAATATTAATACAACATTGATGGTGAGCTGCAATATGCTTACAACCTTAAGTCAATATCTTTGCGAAATATCTTTTGTATCTTAATTTTTAACTTCTTGTCGATACATACGACAGGGAATTTGATCCTGAATTCAATTGGTTGCAGGGAGTTGGCTACGTTCTAAAAACGGTCGGACCCATTTATACTTTGGTTTATGTCAAGGTAAATATTCAATGAATACTTTTCTAACTTTTATTTTGAGGAACATGGTAAACAGGTGAACTTTGTAATATTTCAATTTAACTAATACTCTGAGCGTATTTTATTTCTCGCCAACCACAGTTCCCTATGCCAAAGCTATTTCAGAGTCTGATAGATATGATTTCAATAAACGGCAGTTACATTTAAGCATTTCATACTCGCGGCATTAAAACTCGGTATAATACTACATTATCTAGTCGATCAGTTGGGGTTGCTATCTCAATGGTAATATTCATTTTTCAATGATGCATGTGTGATAATTTCTGGACACGTGAATTTATAAGGTACCATACTTGTTTTGACCAAGTTACTTCTTGAATTTAGATGCTGCTCACATATACAGATATAAGTATATCCTATAATAATATAAAATCAAATCAAATTGCTTAAAATGGACAGAGGTTGGCACTTTAGTAATATGGATGTTTAGGCAATCATATTATTTTTTTTGAAATTTAAAGTTATAATAAAAACAATATTTTTTTAATAAATTAACAATTTGATATTTTTTTATATTTTTATTGATTTACAATTATATATAAAATATTATGTTTATAGTATAGTGAGTAGTGTTTTCAGATCTTCAAATGTATATTTCTAGTTTAATACTTACAGGAATATATATATATATATATATATATATATCCTTTATTTGTAGATTTACTGAATATTCTGCTTATATTATACTTAATTATTTTTAAAAATTTTTTATATATAGATTTATTAGTTATTTTATATATGTTATATATTCAATTATTCAGATTTTAAACAAATTTAATTAGATTAAATAAAGATTAAATCTGATTTTTTTAACAATTATGAATTGAAAACAAATTAAAGTAAAAAAGATTTATTAATATAATAAATGATTTATAACATAAAGAATATTCTAATTTAAGACTATTCCAATCTGGCACTTGCTTAAAAGAAAAGAATTTCACAAAAAAACTTTAAAGTTATATATGGTAATAATAAATATATCTTTTTTAAAGTTTTAAATAAAAAATATTAAACAGATTATTCAAATATTTTAATCAATTCTTTTGGTAGTGTCCAACTGGCGGCAAACTGAAGCATTTGCTAGGGAGTACATACCTGCATCAATCGGTCCAAGCTGCAGCTGGGATCAGGTGGCAGTAGGTAAAACGTGATAAGAACCCTAATGACGGTGACAAGTAACAAAAATGCCCTTCGAATAGACCATACCTGGATTGCGAACCCACCTCCGGAGTGTTAGTTGATAGCCAGGTTAGAATTAGAGGTAGTGCTAGAGTTAGAATAGCTAATATAGTTAATCAGACTCTTTATGTAATGATTGTAACTTCAATACTAAATTAATAAAGTTCATATGTAATGCACTTTGCCTCTAAAAAAAAAAAAAAAAAATATTTTAATCAATTCTAAAAGTCATATATCTTAAATAACAATTATCAAAATCCAAATTAGATTAAAATAATTTATAAGCTAGTAATAATATTTTTATTTTCTAAAGATTTTATTTAATATATGAATTTACTTTCAGAATAAATCAATCCATATGATGAATAAGACTATAGGTAGAAAAATAAATTAACTTAAATAAATCTTATAAATAATAAAATATATTTTATTTATATTCTTTACTTAAAAAAAAAATAAAAATAAAAATACAATAAATTTTTTTTTATCATAAGAGAGCATTAGATACAAATTTTTATTAATGTATATATATTATATTCAAATTATATTAAATACCTTTGGACCTGTGGGTCTGTAGTGTAGTGGTTAATACTCTACAGGTCAAATCACAAGATACCAGTTCAATCCCATGTGAGGGCAGTTAAATAGAATTAATATGATATCTGGCGTCATAACCTGTATAAGCATTGTTTCTCATGAGAAGCCATATCACACGCTGAATCAGCGGGCGTTGAAATTGTGATTTTCAAAAAAGGTGTCGTGATGCGATGATCGTCCGGTTGGTGTCACGATGATCGCTGGAAGTTGTAAGGTGTATAAGGTGTCCGCTTTCGGTAAAGATGGCTTGGTGATTGTTTCCCCGTAGTACCTGGTGTCTCTTCCTGCAAGTTTCCAAAAAGGCCTTATTCTAATCCAGTAATAGATCGCACCAACAGTTACCTATCCCGAGAAGGCAGCCAAAACAGCAGTAAGTACCGATAGCTGAAACAATCTATGGGCTGTAAGT